CCCAACCCGAAGATGTCTATATCTTCTTCCCTGGAGGTAAACGTCAATGTCATCTCTTCTCTAAATATAATGAGACCGCTCGGACACCGAGCCCACAGCGTGGTAGGGGTGGGGTTGCCCGCTCTTTTGTTTTTTAATACTACTACGCTGAATATTGTGTGCGGATTGGGTTGTCGTACAGGGGTACTACATGGTAAAATAAATCTCTTCGGCGAAAACAGGATAATTTAGATCGAACTTCACTTGGTAAGTTCGTTTGATCATTCAAAAATAGTGCTTTGTAATTTTTAAATGTAACTATGTTTTTTACAATGTTAATTGACAAGATAAACGTTACTTTAAAAACAGTTTGAGTGCTCGGTAGCTTCCACGATTAAATTGTTTGAACACATGATTGATCATTATTATGTGTCACCATACACCAACCAAACACTTTAAGAGACACGTTTGAAAAAACAACATTAAAATAAGAGGTTGTTCAGCTATCGTAACTTAATGAAAAAAAGCCTGCAGTTGTAGTCGTTTATCTTTATGGCACTGTGGTTAGCAATAAAAAATAAAATGTCCTTAAAAATTCTTAATTTTAAATACACTGTTATACATATAACCACTGGTAGTAACAATTAATACTTATATTATTTTCTTCTACTGTTATCTGTTCAGCAATACTAATCTTCAAGTCTTAAACATAAGTATTGCTACTTGTCTTACAATAGGCACTTTAATACGTTAATACCATATTGATGTAATCATTGACGCAAAACTATTAAAATAATGTGCGTAAAGTCTTTCTAAGAAGTGCTTAGCACGTAATACAATTTATAATCTTAAAGGGTATGGAAACCAGTTTTGTATTACATGTTTCCTCATCATAAACTCTACTATCCTAGCTAAATCCTCAATTATCACTTTGTTACATAGACGACAACACATGCAATATCATTTAGTTGCAAAATACCCCCTATTACAAGCAAATAAGATGCCACAGTGTGTAGGTTGACCTGCCGTTGATATGTACATTGTACAGTCAGCGTCAAATAGTTCGTGACACCCAAAGTGGCCAAAAACTTGATAACGCCACCTTATTCTATTCTATTCTAACAAAGGCGAGTTGCGAACTTTTTGGCTACTTTGGGTGTCACGAATTATTTGACGCTGAGTGTACCTCAATATCTACGTTGCAGTAGAGTAATTTAGATCTACGTAGGTCTTACGTCAAAATAGCTACCTTTGAACTTGATATTGCGATTATGACTATGCTTATGAATTACTATGATGGTCAGAGATAAAGCCAACTATAATTAACCTCTTCAAAATAAACCTGGACATTAATCATATTAATGTACTAGTGGCCGCCCGCGACTTCGTACGTTTGGATGCCGTTTTACCCCCTTAGGGGTGGAGTTTCGTAAAATCCTTTCTTAGCGGATGCCTACGTCATAACAGTATCAGCATACCAAATTTCAGCTCGATCCGTCCAGTGGTATGGGCTGTGCGTTGATAGATCACTATGTCAAGCAGTCAGGTATTTTTGACAGAAAGTATAACTCATGAAATACGTTTAGTTGAATCTTAAAAACTTGTGACATGTAAGCTTGAATGTTTGCAATAGAAAAAATATTAAAAAAGAACAGACATAAAAACAACGAAAAATCTACATAAATAGGTACGTAGAGATAAAAAAAAACTTAATTGCAAAAAGATAAAAATATTTGGTGTTCGTTTTATAAAAGCTTCCAATACAAAAAAAAGAACATTGGGTCCTGTTCGTATAAAAAATTGTTGAATTATTTTAACATGCAAGTGAAAAATTACCGTTTTCAAATTTAATAAATAGGTAAATATTTTAGGCTTAAAATATTTCCTTACTAACATCCCGAATCAACAAGCTTTATCACAGGAAAAATTAACTGATAAGAAATTTACGTTACATATTTGTTGTAACATTGACGTTAATTTAAAATTAAAATTTCCGGCTTAATATTCGGTGTGGCCATGAACATTATATTTGTTATTATATTTTATTTCGACCGTGATCTTGCAGCAGTAACAGTAATAAAGCTGCTGAACTGTATCTTTCGTTCTTTGGGCCCGTATCACAGCACTATACTTAGTGGTTACCAAACTAAAGAGTCTGCGTTTTATTGAAATCAATGTCATCATTATAGGTTTTTTAAATAATACATTAAAAAAATCTACTGAAGATTTTGCTGGTCCATATAAGTCAACTTTACCTGCATTACATAGTTCACTATACAATCAAATATAATTACAATAGAACGCCGATTATCCGAATCGCCAATTATCCGAATCGGTCCTAAGCGTGATAAATAAAATTAAAACCAAGTAATTTTTATTTTGTTTTGTTGTAACAAGTAGGAACTCTCAGGAGTCTAGATTATTTCAACTGAGCGTTATTGTAGAACTGTAAACATATTTAATAAAGTTTATTCTATGTGTGACGGTTCGTTTTAAACGCGCTTTTTCTTTATTACCAGTCTATGTCCGATTATCCGAATTTTCGATTATCCAAATCGACCCCGGTCCCAATTGATTCGGATAATCGGCGTTCTACTGTATATTGATTTTGTTATTAGGGACAGAGATAGGTGATTCGGTGTCATTGTTTGATCTTCTTCAGTTGCTATTTGTGGAACTTGACTCATAGAATTTCAAGAAATCTACACACATTGTAATCTAGAACTCGAGTTAAGACTGCTTATTTTCTCATTAGTTTATCCTCAAATATGGATTCTAAACTGAGTACGGCTATGTAATATGTATACGGGCCTCAATCTGCCTTGCCTTTCGATTCAACGACCTTGTCCGTAGACAGTTACGGAGCAGGAAAGTTAGCGTGCACTGGCCTATTTGAGAGAAATATTATATGCAGTCCGATTAATGTTTTGATAATTGTGATTTATTCGCCGTTGATTAACTTTTCGCTAAACCAGACGGATATTATGAGCTTGGCGTGGCTAATGTCTGTGTTTCTGCATCTATTCGTCTTTCTCACGTGGAAATTGCGCTGCAAAAGTATAATATGTAATGTAGTGCAGAAATGTTGTTTTGTAAACTCAGTTTATATTGCACCTATTTAAAACGCGAATTTATGTCTCAATCAATTCTTTCCAGGATTTGGATTGAATGTGTTTTCGAAGTCGTAAAAAGTTAGATGGGAAAATCCGTGTTTTCCTGGACTAGATCAACATAATTTTTCTCGATTTCTACCTCATAATAAAAACGCTTTTTATTATGATCTCGTGGTAGTAAAACCCTTATAGCATAGTACTGGTTACGCAATCCCGCAATTTGAATGCGCTGTAATAAAGTTTATGCATACGTTTAAATTAAAATAACAGAAGTTGGAACACTCTACTAGGCAGTAATTTCTATTTTCGTTTTTTCAATCATAACGTCTTGCGTAGATTTCTTAGTCTTATGATTTGCTAAATCTGTTTCGACCAAATCTAGGGTAACGCATTCACATTCTACTTGGTCAATAATCGTTATCATTTGTATGTAAAAATGTTCTTCCGTAATCTTTTCTATACACATATTATCCAACAGCTCTCCAAGAATAGATATTTGTGTGTCATACCAAAATAAAACGTCATTATACCATTTGATACCTTGACAACTTACAATCTGATAGTTGGCACTAGTTGGCGCCTTGTTGGATTACGATAGTTAGGTTGTCGGGATTTGTCCCGATTCTCCCGATTTTTTTGTATGTTTTGACTAACCTCAGGTCCTCAGTTTAGTGATTGTTTCTTTCGATCAAAATTTCGAAATCGATCTGGTAATCCTATGCTAGATGTAGGGGTCTGTTAACCTTCCGATGATGACCCTACATACTATGAATTTGACAGCTAAAAATATTAAAGTAAAATCTTTCTTTCTTCCTCAGACAAGTGATAAAACCGCTCTCCGGGTCAGCGCCGTCGGTGCGGGTGGGCGCGCTGGGAGGCACCGGCGATACAGCTGAGGGCAAGCAGCCGGGCAAGTCGCGCCAGAAGAAGTTCCAGAGGCACTTCCCTCAAGTCGGCCCGGAGGAGCGAGTGCTCAATTGTGAGTACCATTAATTAGTTTGCTAGATGTGTGAACTGATCAGGCTGGATAGTCTGAAATGTCCAAGAAACGATGTAGCTTCTTGGACGATAGTACGTCACAAAATGTGACTTTATTACCTACTCATCAGTAGACCCAGTGTTAGTAGGGGATAGTTACGGCATTAGCGTGACGGTAGAGGGTAAGAGCCGGGCAGATAGTGCCAGAAGAAGTTCCAGAGGCACTTCCCCGCAGTTCGGCCCGGAGGAGCGGGTGCTCAATTGTAAGTACCGTCCGTCAAAATGGGAATAATCCTCCACACTTTCCCACCACTGTAACTCTTGTATAGCTTGGACTCCAATAAAACCCAAACAGTGAAGGATGGTATGTATACATGTCTGGCGTGATCAAGAAAAGTGACGCTGCTTCTTGGACGATACAAGCATAACGTTTGTATCTAGTAAGTAAAACCACTCTCCGGGTCAGCGCCGTCGGTGCGCTGGGAGGCACTGACGACACAGCTGAGGGCAAGCAGCTGGGCAAGTCGCGCCAGAAGAAGTTCCAGAGGCACTTCCCGCAGGTCGGCCCGGAGGAGCGGGTGCTCAATTGTGAGTACTATAAATAAGCTTGCTAGATGTTTGAACTGATCAGGCTGGATAGTCTGAAATGCCCAAGAGACGAAGTAGCTTCTTGGACGATAGTACTACTAGAAAAAGTTCCATAAGTCTTTTCTGGAAGTCAGTAATGAGAAATGGTTAGTGTTGCTAAAACGCATAATTATATCACACTTTTCCGCATTGTTGTGGAATAGGTTCTGGGATGCATATCAGTGTATTTACAAGTCAAGATTACGTGTAGACATGAAGTAAGTGAGCAAGTAAGACCAATGCAAGGCATGGAAAAATCCCAAGGCATTTCCTGCAGGTCGGTAGGGAGAACTATTAGATCATCTGTCACGGAGGAATGAGTGCTCAATTGAGAGTTATTAGAACCGGGAGTGTTAATCGGGAAATTGTCTTAGCATCGTGGTAACTCGGAAAGTTCCATAGTAAACAGAAACATCAAAGCATTGGCAAAGGTTTCTGGATTATTTCGGGCTACCTGAACCCCACATAATCGGGGCCTAATTGTTTGCCTCGGCATCAGAATCTATTCGGCAATATGGCAATTTGTGTACATCGTTGGTTAATAAAGACAGTCGTTATAGGGATTTATTTGTATTGCCGCAACAATGGATGTATAGTTTATCTGTCCAGCGTGGGGGGTATCAACCAAATTCTCCTCCTAATGAAATACTAAATGACTCATTGATGTTGACGATGAAAGCGTTTGCGATAAGTTCAGTTTAATTAGAAAGCGTTTCTCAAACCAACTGCATAACTATGGACAATCGTGATTACGCTTAAAAGATACAAACATAATAACTTCAGTATTTCACCAACATTTTGTTACTGAAGCATAGAGCACCTTAACTCTACGATCGTATTACTTTCCCAGTTTAGGTATCTCGCCATTGACACAGTTTTCAAATAGACACCCGCTGTCAAAGTAAATAACATTTGAATCATTGAATCAATCTAAATATAAAGTTATTTCGAAATCGCCCTGTGTGTTATCTTGGTTCGCTAATTTATAGTTTACGTGGAAATTTGTAAATTATAGGTGTAGGTTAGGAACCAGTTTTTGCACGCCATCTAAGACTCGAGCTCGGTTTTAGCTTTTTAACTTAAGTCCATGTAATTTGTGCGGTAAATGATTGCTATTTAGCGTATATCCGTTCTAGAAAGACTGGACGGTTCCAGTTTACATACTATGCGTAATATGCCTTTGACAACTTTGGTATACTTAATGCCTAGCTGGGGCAGCTATTTTTGTCCAAACTTGCTCCCGTAGTGGCAAAAAAGTTTTCCCAAAGTTCAAAATTTTCCACAAAATTTTACCATGAATCTTACGAAAAATGCCATTTTTTTATGTGTTGGTTACACTTGGTATCACAATAAACTGTGTTAAAGTATATTTAAATTACCACATGGAGTACGTGCTATAATAAAGACAAAATAAAAACAAAACACGGTAATAAAAAGCAACCATCGTAAACATACTTTTTATTCTTCCCTAGAAGGATTACAAAAAAAAAGTGAAGTCATTCAAAGTGATACTAAAAGCACACGGTAAGCATTAAAAATGAGAGACGCGGCCTCTTGGCTAGGTCCAAGGTTGAAGGATCTATAGGAAAAACCTGTTAGACGTAGTAATTTGTTGTACCATATGACACCGTTTCCACGAAGTAACATTTGTTAAATTTCCAAGCAATAAATCGCCGAGATTATAAATTATGTTTGGAATAATTATCAAGAATTGTAAAAAAAAACTGATGACACTTTACTTATTTGCATTAATTGATTAAGGATTGTAATACGGATCTAACTAGTAGTTGGTTCTTTATATCTTTATTTAGGTATATATAATTGTATATGGTTTAAAAAAATCCATACACAGTGGCTTACTTACTCTTATTAATGTAAGAAACAAACTAATGTTACTGAGGCCGTTCCTACCAATGCAATGAGGTAATGTAAAAATTAACAGAAAAATAAATCTGTCCATAAATCTCTCAATCATATTGCTAATTCACTAATGACTTGATAAATCAATAATACGAGAAGAAATCAATTCATATTGTTCAATAAAGATGTCACAAATAAAAATAATAAATTAGTCAGTTAATTATAATTATTGAAAAAAACTAAAATTATTGTTATTAATCTGAAATAAAGATAAAAATAAAAGATAGATAAACAATAAATCAGCAATAATTATCTAAATGAGAAAAAAACTTAATGATTGATTACTAACTTCGATCATCACTAGTAAAGAATACAAAAGAAAGAATAATTAACTTACATAAGACATTTTCTCAATTGTTGTGGAAACAGGTGATAATAGAAAGGCTATTTTATTATTAATTAAGTTCAACAAACCTGAGGTGACTTAATTTCGTTAGCTGCAACCGGAGGTTCCAAGAAAAGCAAACTTTATTTAATTAAATTTAATTTAAAAGAAAGAAATTACAATAAAAGTAAAATTAGGTAAGCTAGTGATACCGTCTCGAAGTGTGAAACAAATATGATTATAAAATAATTAGTAAAATTAATGAAACGTCGCCGCTGTCGTCATGAGAGGCGCATTTTGCTGATGCTGCTCCTCGCGGTCCATAGTGCAGTTGCAATGTTGATTTGGGTAAACTGGGTCAGCGTCGATGCAGCGATCTTCATAGATTAGGCGTACGTAACACCTCCCCCCGAAGAACAGCCACCACCGAAGAATTTCGTAGTGAATTGAGGTGGGGGTTGGCTTGCCCTTGACTCTGGTACAGCGTATATTGTCCTTTGTGTCTGAGTTTCCCTTGGTTGGCTCTAGACAGAGTCTAATTTCTTGTAGTACTTGCGGTATAGTATGACGCTGATGAGTACAGATGCACCAATTAATACCATGTACAATGGGATGGTAGTATGGTATATACTGTAATCTACGTTCTTCTCAAGATTTAACTTTGGATGCTGGGAAATCTTCATGTTGGTGGTGTGAAGATGATCCAGATTCATAGAGTTTAGTTTGACTGTAGAAATATCGTACTCTGGTTCCTTCGGTAGATTCGTGATTGTCAGCACATGTCCTTTCAGTCGATCGTTGAGGTTGAAGATGGTCAACTGAGATGTTTCCATGTGCAATTTGTGTGGGATGATTGCGAGATAGCTGCCTCGATACTCCTTGTTGATGTTGAAAGATCTTGCCCGCAGGACAGATGTACCTTCGTAGAAGTAGGGAAGTTGATGACGTAGTGGCGGTCGTCTCGTTGTTCGTATGCTGGTTGATTTAGTGTGACAGTGATTGGGCTGAAGTTTGGCTTTGGAGACTTCGTGTTTCTTCACATAAGAACCATTTGTTGGTCTTCGGGCATTCAGCCTCTATGTGCTTGAAATCTTTCTCATGGATAGCTAGGAATGGGGATGATGGAACAAGGATTTCGTGATTTCCATTAGGGACAATAGATAATTTGTACCTATATTAGGTCGTATGTATAAGGAGTAAAGATTGGGAACTTGTACACTATTACTATTTCATTATCGACGTAATATGAACTTAACTTAATCAAGTTTAATATAATTAGGATTAGGAAGGTGAGGACTTGAAAGATTCAAGGACTTACAGCATTNCCATAGTGCAGTTGCAATGTTGATTTGGGTAAACTGGGTCAGCGTCGATGCAGCGATCTTCATAGATTAGGCGTACGTAACAACTTAACAAACATACAACTAAGACAATGTATTATAACAAAACACTAAACAAAGATAAGTTAGTAAATCTTTCATTGCTATTGATTGAGCAGTAGCTAAGTTATCTTATCAGAAAATATTTCTCGTAACGGTCTTTTTATAGTTGTTTTCATTTTTGCAGTTAATGCATTTCAAGATGGACTAAATAATATGCATAACTGTAGAAATACTCAATATTGATTAGATTGTCGGTAATTCCAAGTTCATAAGGATAAAGCTATAAGTATTATTTGTAGTTTTCGCTGAACATTATTTGGCAATCGATTTCCTCAATGGTAATTCCCCAAAAACACCTCTCTCGCTTCAGGTAAGGTTTAAAGTGGCTTGAATAGGAATATTGTCTCTACATTATATTGAATCTTATCGAGTTTGTTTTAAAGTTCACAAACAAAGAACGTTTTCAACTGATTTAGACGGGACGCAGACTACAGATTTTTAATCGGCCGATAGTTTGGTCGGATTCTAATTTTTTTGAGGAATCGGCTGATATCAAATCCGCGAAAGGCGTGGACGTATTCCCAAAGGTCCACCCACAGCTTTTAATGTTTTTAAATGTACACGAAATTGAAATAAAAAAGCATTTTCGTTCCCAGCGGGTCCATGATAATATTTCATAGTATATCTTCATACAAAACAGCTCTTGAATGCTTACTGTCCTTCTTTGAATAAGTCTCGTGGACACATTAGGAAGTCGTATATGAAAATTTTGAAATTTAATGGACCCGGTCTGAAAAGAATTACAATAGAGTCGTGGAGCTTTGGAAAATAACCCGTGCGGAATTTCGCACATCCTTTTAGTTAGTAGTAGAGTTATTTCTTAATGCCAAAATTTCCATTTCCAGATTACTCCTGTGCACTACTCGGCGATCTACTCCTACAAGGGCACCTGTACATCACGATGAACTACTTCGCTTTCTACTCCAACGTCTTCGGCTATGTGACCAAGGTGAGCCACATGTGGACCACTCTCACTTGACATTCGTGATCGTACAAACTAGATACGCTTTTTGAGAGGTGCGAGTGTGACACAGAATTTAGAATGATAATTGAGTAGTCAATGTAATAGCAACCTATTTAATTCATATTAATAATTTTCATAAAGTTATTCATCTACTGACCCCCAAAACAACAACAAGACAAAAGTAAACACGTAGGGTATTACTACAAAAAAAAGTAAACCCTGCACGAACACTGGTTTAAAATGACATTTCCATACTGAAGAGGTAAAACAAAGTCTCATCATCATCATTATCTCAGCCATAGGAAGTCCACTGTCCTGTTTCCATGCTACCCGGTTGTTAGCGGCCTGCGTCCAGCGCTTTTCTGCTACCTTTATGACGTCGTCGGTCCACCTTGTGGGTGGACATCCCAGAACAGAGTCTAACTTTTTGTAATAAGGGGGGTATATCAATAAATTCGGTATGAATTTCCATTAAATCGTGCCTTTCCAAAATTTATTTTGATTGTGCAGTGTGCAATGATTCATCTGTTTATATTCCCAAGTGTTTAATTAAAAATTACTTCAACAAACGAGCTTGGGCTTTTAAGAAAATACGGATTCTGACTTCTCGTTCTTACCACCACAACTCTTGTACAGCCAGGGTAATAAGATAATGAAATTGATGGGAACTAATACGTCAAAAGGCTAGTAACACACGCGCTTAGGTTTTGTAATTATTGTATCAATTATTCCAATATTCATCAGTTATCAAACCAAACTAATTTTAATTTAAAATTGGTTTTAATTAAACATTTGTTCAATGTCGACGAGTTATCCGGCGCGGCCCCAATTCCGTGACTTGCCTAGTTGAAGTATAATGTACCGTTTATTGTGTTTCATAACCGTAATTTTTGTTCCCGATTACGAGTCTTGATAATGTAAAATTGACCTCTATTATCGCAATAAATGTAGGATTTAAATAACTCACGGAAATGAGAATGATGCAATCTAAAACATAGAGAAATATGAAAGTATGTATTTGAATTAATAGGCTTTTTTAGGCTAGGCCTAAAAAAATTTTTTTAGTCCGTAATGTTTAATATCAAAAAATATTGGACACGTATATTTTTATTTGTCAATCTAACAAATAATTACATAGTTATGGTGCGTTGAAGTTGCGCACGACGTCACAACGTGCGGCATTTTTAAGCAAGCGTTGACGTCACGGGCCTTTTCTTATGAACTTTTGGGGCGCTTTATCTCTTTAAATTTTCATTAGTTTGAAAAAGTGAAAAATACGTGTAGAGTATTTTTTGATAAGTTAACTGACGGACTAATTAAAACTCTTGCTTTTTGACCCAGGCAACATCCCCATTGTCTTATTTGATAACGCATTTAAATTATACTAGCTGACCCGGCGAACTTTGTTCCGCCTTAATGGCAATAAATAAGCAGACTTTTTTTTAATTTCGAACGGGATAAAAAGTATCCTATGTCCTTCTCCTGGCTCTAAACTACCTCCCTGACAATTTTCAGCTAAATTGGTTCAGCCGTTCTTGAGTTCTAAGCGAAGTAACTAACACGACTTTCTTTTATATATATAGATTATAATATCAAGTTTATTTAAAATGTGTGTAGCATTGATCTTAACCTTTACATTTTTGTCTAGGTTAGTTTTCATTATTTCAATTTAATTGCCAGGAACCATACACATTTTTGTAATAGCAGTAATATTATGGCATGTAGATAAGTTGATAACTTATGCATAATATTGAAGCCACAAGAGGTAAAATTATTGTTCAGCAGTAGGCTTTCGGCAAGTTCTATGACCTAGCTAGGTGACCTTCGAAGGTGAATAATTAGTCAGGCTAAGTAATTTAAAATTCTTTGCTAACTCTAAACAAGTTTGAAAATATTCAAACCAATTAATCAATTGATAAAATCTTAGATAAAAATTGTACATTTTAACTTCTTTTAAGTTTGACTTTCGTGACTATTTATTATTCTTAAAAAGTCACTGGCTAGATATATTCAATGTGAACAACATGAAGCCATAAAGAAACAGAAAAAGACAAATTTTCTAATAAAAACAAAATATATTGAAGTGTCAGATTGTCAATTGTTTCATCACGAAAAATGTATACTCGTACATAGGTACGATGTCTTTGCGTTACCAATATTCAAAAATAGCTAGAACCCATATTCAAATTAGTAGCGTGATCGTCGCGTCTCGAAGAAACCTTAAAATATCGGATTACTCATTTCGTTCCGATGATCCTTGGCCTTAATTCGTTGCCGGACGTCAGCTGGGGTCAGGGCTAGCAAAAGGAAGACAGTAACTATCTTCGTGAACGTAAACTATAGTACCCTACTAGCGCTTAACTGACTCACATGCCCGTATTCACAATCGATGCTTGCTTAAGTGAAGCAGCAAATCGTACGCACAGCGTTGAATAGAGCTCTGTGATTGGCTCGTGTGTCACCCTGTGCGTCCACACGCACTGTGAGGCCTCATAGTATTGATTGTGATTACGGGCATCAGTGCCTGAGGTATAAGAGTGACACGAGAGGGGTGTCTTTGTGACGTCAAATGTAAGCGAGACTTCATTATGTGCTTCAGACTTGTATGCTTTGTCACGTCATAATGTCACCCTTCCCACCTCTTATACCTCAGGCATTGACGTAGTCATTTGCCACCTGTAATTTCGGGATAGTAGGCAACCCTATTTTAAGGATAGTGTCGGGTCAGTGCTCACGTGTTAACATAATTTAAGTAACATGTGGTTTAGTATAACTTCGTTGGTAGGTACCAATAAAAGAACAATTTTAAACTAATTTTAATATTAACCTCCATTTTCACCTTTCTTGAACTCGTAAACCGAAAAGGTCAAAGTTGTATACCTAGAATAATAAATTCAAATTGGTATTGAAAGTCAATGTTATTAAGGTCGTTTTGGATTTCTTATGTAACCGAACTGGTTTTTAGGACAAGAGAATCATTCTTGTTTCAATCAATGTGACCCTCGAATTTATAGAAAAAAAAAAACAGAATTTGAAATACTTAGGTAGAATATCTAGATTTTATAGCTTAAGTTTTACCGAAAGTGTGATTAACAGTTCCTCTTTGATACCAAATATCGTTTTTTCTGGTACTTCAGTCAGCTTTCCATACAGACTTGAATTGTACACTGCACCAAATTCAGTTAATGATAAAGAATAAGAATACTTTATTCAGCATAGAAAAATAAAATAAAAATACAGTACATATAACATTAAACTACAAGCTATGCTGAAGAGGCGTCCGCTCAGCTATATTCGCGACATAACAAGCGCCATGTCGAGAAGCTGGTTTTCAGCGGGAACCAACACGATGAAGATTGCGGATTGCGCGCCCTCTTGACCGGGACCATATTGAGGCTACCAGTCAAGAAGGCGCGCAACAGGGGCGCAACATTAAACAGAATAACTTTATTGTCATGCCATAACAAGTATGTCCACCAAATGAACAGAAAATTAAACAAGGCAATGTACGTACCTACCGAAAGGCGCTCAGTTCTATCAAGCTTCATAGTTAAAACTTGGCTCAGTTTGGGACTAAATGGCTTAATATCAATGTCCAATAATCCCAACTAATATTATAAATGCGAAAGTAACTCTGTCTGTCTGTCTGTCTATCTGTTACGCTTTCCCGCTTAAACCTCGCAACCGATTTTGATGAAATTTGGCATAGAGATAGTTTGAGTCCCGGGAAAGAACATAGGATAGTTTTTATCCCGGTTTTTGAAACAGGGACGCGCGCGATAAAGTTTTTCTGTGACAGACAAAATTCCACGCGGGCGAAGCCGCGGGCGGAAAGCTAGTATTGAAAATAATTTATTTATTCCAGCTCCTCATCCCCACCACATCAGTCCTCCGGATAACAAAAGAAAAAGTCGCGAGGATAATCCCGAACGCGGTGGGCGTATGCACGCGCGATGAACGCCACGTGTTCGGCTCGCTGCTGTCGCGAGACTCCACCTACAAGCTGATGATGCACGTGTGGAAGGCTGCAAGAGTGCCAGAGCTGGCGGTGCCCAAGCCACAGGTAAGAAGACTCTTCTTTGGATGCTCCACAGAAGGTTCTAGAATCTGGAACCGTCTATGGTTCTTCTAGAATCTAGATAGTCCCTAAAACGGTGGGACTATGAGTGCCGGAGCTGGCGGTGCCAAGCCACAGGTGAGAAGACTCTTCTTTGGATGCTCCACAGAAGGTTCTAGAATTTAGAACCTTCTATGGTTCTTCTAGAATGTAGATAGTCCCTAAAGCGGTGGGACTATGAGTGCCGGAGCTGGCTGTGTCCAAGCCACAGGTAAGAAGACTCTTCTTTGGATGCTCCTCAGAAGGTTCTAGAATTTAGAACTTTCTATGGTTCTTCTAGAATGAAGATAGTCCCTAAAGCAGTGGGAGTATGAGTGCCGGAGCTGGCGGTGCCCAAGCCACAGGTAAGAAGACTTGAGAAGTCCACAGAAGGTTCTAGATAGTCCCTAACGCGGTGGGAGTATGCTCTAGTGACGAACGCCACGTGTTCGGCTCGCTGCTGTCGCGAGACTCCACGTACAAGCTGATGATGCACGTGTGGAAGGCTGCGAGGGTGCCGGAGCTGGCGGTGCCAAAGCCTCAGGTAAGTAGAATTTTCTTTGGATGCTCCACAGAAGGTTCTAGAATTTAGAACCTTCTATGGTTCTTCTAGAATCTAGATAGTCCCTAAAGCGGTGGGACTATGAGTGCCGGAGCTGGCTATGCCCAAACCACAGGTAAGAAGACTCTTGGGAAGTTCACAGAAGGTTCTAGATAATCCCGAACGCGGTGGGCGTGTGACTCCACCTACAAGCTGATGATGCACGTGTGGAAGGCTGCGAGAGTGCCGGAGCTGGCGGTGCCCAAGCCTCAGGTGAGAAGACTCTTCTTTGGATGCTCCACAGAAGGTTCTAGTATCTAGAACCTTCTATGGTTCTTCTAGTATCTAGATAGTTCCTAAAGCGGTGGAAGTATGAGTGCCGGAGCTGCCTATGCCCAAGCCACAGGTGAGAAGACTCTTCTTTGGATGCTCCACAGAAGGTTCTAGAATCTGGAACCGTCTATGGTCCTTCTAGAATCTATATAGTCCCTAAAACGGTGGGACTATGAGTGCCGGAGCTGGCTATGCCCAAACCACAGGTAAGAAGACTCTTAGGAAGTTCACAGAAGGTTCTAGATAGTCCCTAACGCGGTGGGCGTATGCACGCGCGACGAACGCCACGTGTTCGGCTCGCTGCTGTCGCGAGACTCCACCTACAAGCTGATGATGCACGTGTGGAAGACTGCGAGGGTGCCGGAACTGGCGGTGCCCAAGCCACAGGTAAGAACTCTTCTTTGGATGCTCCACAGAAGGTTGTAGAATCTAGAACCTTCTATGGTTCTTCTAGAATGTAGATAGTCCCTAAAGCGGTGGGACTATGAGTGCCAGAGCTGGCTATGCCCGCCCAAACCACAGGTAAGAACACTCTTGGGAAGTTCACAGAAGGTTCTAGATAATCCCGAACGTGGTGGGCGTGTGACTCCACCTACAAGCTGATGATGCACGTGTGGAAGGCTGCGAGAGTGCCGGAGCTAGCGGTACCCAAGCCACAGGTTAGAAGACTCAATAAAGTATACTCCATAGGAGGTTCTAGAATTTAGAACTTTCTATGGTTCTTCTGGAATCTAGATAGTCCCTAAAGCGGTGGGAGTTTGAATGCTGGAGCTGGCGGCGCCAAGCCACAGGTAAGAAGACTCTTCTTTGGACGCTCCACAGCAGGTTCTAGAATCAAGAACATAATCTAGAACCATCTATGGTTCTTCTAGAATCTAGATAGTCCCTAAAGCGGTGGGACTTTGAGTGCCGGAGCTGGCGGTGCCAAGTCACAGGTGAGAAGACTCTTCTTTTGGATGCTCCACAGAAGGTTCTAGATAGTCCCAAACGCGGTGGGAGTATGCTCTAGTGACGAACGCCACGTGTTCGGCTCGCTGCTGTCGCGAGACTCCACGTACAAGCTGATGATGCACGTGTGGAAGGCTGCGAGAGTGCCGGAGCTGGCGGTGCCCAAGCCACAGGTAAGAAGACTCATCAAAGGATACTCCACAGAAGGTTTTAGATATGCGACTATCCCCACCTCACGTTCTCACCGCTGCAATTCCTGTGTAGCCAGGATCTACAACTTGACCTCCAATAAAAACCCAACCAGTCAAGGTCAAAGTCAATGAGAAGGTTCTAGAAAGTCCTTAACGCGGTGGGCGTGTGACTCCACCTACAAGCAGATGATGCACGTGTAGAAGGCTGCGATCGTAGCCACAGGTAAGATCACCCTTGGACAGTTCACAGAAGGTTCTCGAATGGAGGCTACACTTAGCAAGCGAGGCGTGGAACAATTCCCAGGTAAACATAGATCTGCTAGCAATAAGCTGTCTGAGGGTCCGTAATGCGAGGATAGACTCATATGAAAAATGTCTCTAAGATACGCCAATGGCCATATAAGTGTGGATCTGCTAGCTTATTCACCTCCATTTTGGACTTCGGATGAGCTTCAGACGTGTATGCCATGACAGATCTGCCGCGCCGTGACCCTTCGCATTTCTTCATTACCTGATTAGAATGCTTTATGCCTGTTCTGTATACGTCTGTATTTATGTTTTTTCGAGATTATACTTTCCAATATTTCCTTTATCAATGGCTAAATGTTGCTTACAGGATCTCAGGACGTCAGAAGTGGAGCTGGACCCTTCAGAGTATTCGCCAGAGGATGACAGCAGTTCCGCTGGCGGAGACCAGCCAGATACACCTTCGCCGCCCGTGCGAAGAGAATCTGAGGCCATCATCACTGCTGGTAAGTGCTATACAAACGTCAGTCATCGTCATCGTCATCAACATCATCATCATTCGCTGGAGGGCGACAGCAGTAGGGCGATGATAATATTTTCTTATGCTTGTTTATGGGTAGCAAAAAGTTGTGTCTTTCTATTTTTAAAAGCCTTTACTTTCTACAAAGCAGAATAGGGCCGTATATCTGCAAGTACTAATACCAGACTACTGCAACTTCCTTGAAGCCAGGATCTAATACACCCCGCAGATTTTTTTCCGAGTTTGGTCGCGTTTGGTCAAGCTGTTTCCGAATCAACATAGAACCATTTTTTGGGGTCGGTTAAAAATCGACCCAACTATCTTCCGACAATAAATATATTGAGAACATATTGAGTATTTGATCTGTAGTCTATGGGATGTCTATAGCTTGACCGTAAATAAAACCCCAACCACTGAAGAACATCTTTTATAAAGAATATCTTTTATATCTATTTATTCATCTTTCCAGGAGCAGCAGTGATTCAGCCGGCATTGCTAACCGGATCGGCCGCGCCGCGCAAACCGCCGGTACGCTGGGGGCGAACATTACTCGTGTGCGCGTTTGTAATGCTCGCGCTCTCCGCCATAGTGCTGTCGTACAAGCTGTATGTGGCGCGCGCGCATTCGCAGGTGAGCGGCGAACACGGCTATAACTATTTTATTGCCTGTTATTATTTAGAAGTACGGATATCAAGCTAATCGCTGCAGCAGCATCTTATTCAACTGTACCTTCCTTTTTTATGATGATAATATTTTACCGAATTATTGCTGAGATATGGCTGAGTGTGAGTTTTCATCAAACGTGAGCGCTTAAAAAAAATGTATGAAAATTTTAGTTCTTGAACGTTTCCGCTAGGGGCGCTGTACAATCCGTCATACATTTAATGCCACTTTTACGCTGTCGACATCGAATGACGCAAACTCATATCGACTTGAATGTGTAATCGCAGCTAATTCTACCTTTTCTGATGGAAATTGGAACCTTAGTCTCGACTCTCGAGTTACCGTAGGTGGCGCTAGCGTCGCTTGGCTGGTAATCTTCAAATAACGGCTCAGAAATATACTAAAAAAATCATTCAAGTAACTTATTTTTAATATTGTTCCAGGAGGAGCTAAGCAAGCTATCAGGCGAGGAGCTATATTCAGAACTAGTCAGATGGCGGGCGCGGCTTCACGGCCGAGCGGCGGGCGAGCTACACGCGTTCCTTACTACCAACCTGCTGTTGCTCACCAAGGTAACGTGGACCTTATGTACCAATATACATAAGCTTTGCATATTCTTTGGCGTTTCCTCGAAATTTTCACGAATTTTGAAGTATCTCGAGAAGCTAGAGTAGCGAGGCGAGCTAGGTTTTATGAGTGGGTACATAAGAGAATCGTGCTTTGAAATTCTTGCCTTGAAAAAGAACAAGCCATAAAATGCCATGTTATTTTCTACAAGAAACGGGTTACTAGAAATGAAAGAGTAACTAATTGAGCATTTATTGTACTCTTAAACGATGAAGTAACACCTTTGGCTGCTTTAATTCAACATAAAACTTCAGTTAAATGTCTACATAAACATCAAGTTAAATCCTTCTTTATTTTTTCACAGGTCCGACAATCACTCGAAGCACTATCGGGTGTCATACTAACGGACATGGCTCAACCCGGTCACCATACTGACGTGCCCAACGAAACCGTCTTCAGTTAGCGCCGCCAACCGACCCTGGATTAAAGTAAGCGTAATAAACCACATGAGCGAGCTAATAAACCATATGAGCGAGCTAAAAGGCCACATGAGCGAGCTAATAACCATATGAACGAGCTAATAGGCCACATGAGCGAGCTAATAGGCCACATGAGCGAGCTAATTGGCCACATGAGCGAGCTAATAGGCCACATGAGCGAGCTAAAAGGCCAAATGAGCGAGCTAATAAACCATATGAACGAGCTAATAGGCCACATGAGCGAGCAATAAGCCTCTGGAGTGATAAAAAATATGTCAAACTACAGTATTCACTACGCTACTCAAGAAATAGTTATCCTATCATGTGAGAATGATAAACCAACAGATGCAAATGTAGTAACTAAGGATAAGCAAAGCTAGGGTAGCTCAACGGGATAGTTAACCAAGCTAGGATAGCCAAGCGAGCTAGGTTAGCCAAGTGAGTGGAGATTGTCTGAATTAGGGCTCCCAAATAAGCTAGGAGCCAAGTAAGGATAATCCAGCAAGCTAGGGTAACCGTTTGAGCTAAGAATTCCCAAGCGAGCTAGGACTAGCAAGCTAGGGTAGCCAGATAAGCTTAAATATTGCAGAATAATGCTGGAAGGACCTCTCAAACCTAATGGTTAAACAAAAAGCAAGCAATTTTATACTGAACAGTGATAAAGGTCAAAATGCGGGTCATTTTATTAGTGGTATGCCATAAGCACTTAAAAAAAACGTGATGCAAAATAGTAAAAATAAATACTTTAATCTTATTTTTCAATCATCAATCCACTTGTTGTATAACGCAGTACATTCATGGTTCGTATAAACAATAAACATAAGCATAAAATATTAATTTATTGATGTATAATAATATACAAAGATTTGTATACGTCCATTGTCTTTAAAGTTAGTGTGACGAAGAGGCATGCAAGAATTCCAACTTGGTTTTGTAGCATCAAACTAAAAATTGTAAATGTATGTTTGTTAAGAACTGGATAGCAAAAAAGGCATTTCGTAAACTGGATTTAATTGCTCTTAAAATCTAAATTCATTGTGTATGAGTGTGCGCTCAACATTAATATGACAATGTATGATACGTAAAAATGAACTGTTTGTTTTTATGATTATTAATTTAGTTCCGTTATGTGTGGTAAAAAAAAGATATGCAATATTTAAAATGAAGTTTATTTCAACGTATTCAAATTGCTTTTTCTATGGTTTGCTCCTCATTGGTGTAAGTAAATGTGAAATGTATATAGTGTAATCTGAGTCGGTGTGTGCCTTTAAGGCACTGTGTACGTCATATTATTGTGTCAAACACATTATACTAAGGGTGTGAGCTAAGGCCAAAAACGCGTAGATTCGTCGGGTAAATGTGTAGAAAAATTGTAAAAATGTTGTAACGAATTAATCTTTGATAGCTCAAGTGGAAATTCATCGTGGGACAGATATTTTTACAGTCGACAAATAAATGCTAACAACATAGACGGAGAGTTACTTAGGTTCGTACTCTGAAACGTCACTCAAAACTCAATTCTAACTCAATTTATACTCAAGTCTGAGATTCAAATTTGAACCAATAACTGGCTTGATTCTATGCTCAAGTAAGTTCACATTAATTTTGAGTGTCTATCCAAAGTACAACAGAGTCTAAAATAAATTCACTTTTCGTCTTCTTTTTGGCCATGAGTAAGCATCGTAAAGCAGTCATAAAAACATTCGTGTAAATTGTCAAACAATCATAAAAATCATTAAATACTTTAAAGGAAATAATTCTTCTTTTTACCCCAAAATGACGTCTCCACAATAGTTTTAATAATTAAAGGAATATAATTATTATAATCTGGGGGCACGGCAGTGCCCCCACCAAGTCGAGCAAAAAAGCGGCACGGCCGTACCATCCTTTTCTCGAAGCAATTCAGGCCATTTTCGACCGCCTGTAACTTCGTTGTGGATAAAACTAGAAGGCTGAATTTTCATTAGCTATGCAGGCATTGTAAAGACACGGTATATTTAAAATTTCATTCAATTTGAACCAGTAGTTTAAGAATTATAACGGGTCAAAGTTACTTAATTTTGTCACTCACTGACTGACTCACTGACTCACTGACTCACTCACTGACTCACCGATCATCAAAACTCTAAGGCACTTCTAGCAGACCTAGAAGCTTCAAATTTGGAATATAAGTAGTGTTTGGTGTATGAATCAAGGAAAAACTAAAATATTTGGGGGCACGGTAGTGCAACCGCCAAGTCGAGTAAAATTTTTCAATTTCGGTCCAGTTTTCTAGATACATAACTGCTGTCTACAAAATACAAAAAGAAATGAGATCCCATCAAAAACAATACTTGTCAAAAAAACCAAGTCTCGCAACTCAGTTGTTCTACGGTAAAAAGTTGTGAGATCCATGTAATACCAAGTCCAGGCCAGGAAATCTTTAACGTTTTACATAAATATATTGACTTGGTCATCGCATGAAAACACGTGTAAATAAAATTATTTAGTGCGATGGCCAAGTCAATAATTTATGTAAAACGTTAAAGATTTCCTGGCCTGGACTTGGTATTACATGGATCTCACAACTTTTTACCGTAGAACAACTGAGTTGCGAGACTTGGTTTTTTTGACAAGTATTGTTTTTGATGGGATAATAATCTTCCCGTTGGATTTTAAACTATACTTACACGAATGTTATTATGGCGAAGTTCAAAGGCAGTGGTGCTAGTAATAAGGTAAGGATCGTACGAACATTCCTAAGTCAGGAAGAACGCGGGTTTGGAGTGCGAATCAAATGTTGGGCCCAATGTTAGCTTGTCCGTGATGGTTTGCCAAATATTTGTAATGTATCTTGCCAATGTATAAGGTTTTTGCTTACTGCTTAGCACGTTATATTGACTCTTTGTTACCTTTAGCGGTCTGTGGGTAGTTTTACATTTTATGAAGCAGTGAATTCGGCGATCTAGTTCCTCATATGTAACAAGTGTATAACTCAAAAAGTATAAATTTTGAGTAAACAAATCACTATCGGAATATAAGAGCTATAATAATGGCCAACAGTAAGCCAAAGCGTTCGCAATCAAATATGTATTAATACTAACCGAATAGTAACTGTAATGTACATGTACCTACTTGTATCCTACAGTATGTCTGGTGCGTGAAATTTTGAATATTTTAGTCGTTTATGTATGTAGTTATCATGTAAATTTTGTGTAATATAACTTAATTTATTATTCTAGTCTTCGGTAAAGCTCAAGGAATTCAAATATGAGTTAGATTTGTACTTATATTTTATCCGATTATGTATGTCGGTCGTCCGAAATGTTATGTTGGCACACAAATATAAATGGTGGTCGATATTTTATTGTTAAGCGTCTAAAAATAGCTTGACAATTGACATTTTTTTTATGCATTCCGTGGTGTTTGAAAGGTGCATTTCATTTCATGCAGTTAGTAATATTTCAAGGACGTTTTAAAATAATGTTAGAGAATCATTTGTGAGTGATTTAAGCAGACTGTTTTGACTCGATTGGTGTCGATTTCCTAGCAAATAAGTTTTATTCTTGGGATAACGTCTGTCCAGAAAATACGTAAATCTATAATCTATTTACTTGTTTTCAATCCGCTTTGTAAATAAGCGGTGTTGGGCAGTCGTTACACAAGCTATTGCTATGTTCAAAATATCTAAACTAAGATAACTGTTACCTAGTTTCATGATTCAGTACTTCTAAAGAATAATTGCTAATTTTCTCCTCTTTCAACTAAATTACATTGACCCAATCATAATGCTACAAGAAACGAATTGTGTGCAATAATCAGTATAAACTTGGGTCAATACCCCAGCAAGCATAGATTGATAAAGATCTGTAATTACAATTTAGTTGCAACAAGAGAAGACAGATGGCGCTATCTACATATTCTTTAAAAGTATTGAATGCCTCTTAGTAAATATTAGTTCATAACACATGCTAGAAACTTTGAATGTTTTTAATTTGAAATCGTAAAGTAAAATAGATGTGATTTAAAAATGCTAGTGATAATTTATTTTCATGTATGTATCCAAGAGCTTTCTTGAACTTTTGTAATTTGACGTACTCTTGTTAATTATTGTCATTATTTGTAGATGTGCCGTCGATATAGTTATAAAATAAATATCGAAAAATTTGTGCTCAAATATTTAAGTAATTAATAGCAATGTGATCATTTGCGTGACTACAAAAATCACAATGATTAAGTGTTAATTAAGTTCTAAACTTCTGACAATAGATGGTGTTAACTTTTAAATTAGTCCCAGTGATTTCTGAATGCGAAGCAGCTTCGTGGAAAGATTTTTTAAATTAAATTTTCCAAAAAACGTATACAATCTCGAAAGAAGACTCTTTAGGCGTTATTTTTTCTTATTTCTGACTTGTTCGGGGCACATCTACGAAATAAATTGATAGTTATGTTTTACCTCGTATCCGTTAGAATATTGGCTGTTATTTATTCGTAAAGGCCTAATTTCGTCCTAGGTTACCATCAGTGCCAAAGTGGGTTGTTCAACTTTGTTTTTTGTCACGACAAGTTAGGCCTCCAACCGGATTAAAATCGTGTTACAGCTACTTAAGGTCGGTTCTTCAATGTCACCTCGTTTCATTCATTTATTCCTACTACTTATTTATATTTTGTAGTATATTCCATTAATATTATCCATTAATATTATTATTAGTAAGTAGAAAATTATAGCTGCAAAGTTTATAACCTTTTAAGCTCATTTACCTGCCATTTAGCATTATAAATATATAAGTTTATCTCATTCTTTAGAGTATTTATTTCGGGATAGGACCTACTGATACATAGAAATATACTCAACTCATATCAGTGAGAAATATCTCCCTACTTCTAAAGAAATAGGGTTTAGACTTATATTTCTGATGTTTAGGCCGTGCGTTGTTGAACTTCCAGCATATTCTTAATTTTCGAGGGTAGCAACATCTAGGTATGTAAAAAAACTGAAGGTCACTTAATTTTTAGACATTTTATATGTCGCCTGTACCACAATGGTTATTGTAGAAACAAGTTCAATGCAACGCGCGACCTTATAGGTGACATTTGAAGAATCGGTCCTGACATAAAATAATAGCAACGTGCAAGTCACGATTTCAGGAATAGCTATTATAAAATAAAAATATTGCCAAAGACAACACTAGAATAGTTGAAATATCAAACGTAGATAGAATTATAGGAGGTTTGTACAATAGTTAGTTTTAGGCATGCCCGTGCGGTTATTATAATTTACCTCTGAATATATGATGTTATAGTTATGTTTGATTATTATGTTGCTATAAATCTGTTGTTGGTCTACCAGTGACGGATAAATCCAATATGTAATTTGCTATATTTTTGTTAACCTATTGGGACAGTCAGAAATTGTAAATGTTTTGTATTTATTTTTACAATTAGGTTCTGAATTTATAATGAATCTTTTGAACAACATGCATTTAAACTTCGAACAACTTATCGCGGGAAGAACTTTTACAACTTTCTTAGTTCGTATTCGTTTCGTAGTTTCATATTTAGCCAATGATAATTTCTGACTGACCCTGCAACCGTTATTTATTTTAAATTACTACAATATCGTTGTGTTATTTAAATTTTAATGATTTGTAATAGAGAAATTATCTGCTTGTTTTGTATCAGCTCACAAATATGAGTGCAATGTATTATTCAGTGATGGATAGGCAGTTTTTTTAAATGAAAATGTTAATTTATTTCTACCGCGTAGGAATTGTTAACCGATTTGGTTGATGGTGTTTTGTATATTTGTTCTGAGTTATGATTTGTTTGTTGTTTAATGTAAATATAGATAGATGAGTTAACTGAAAAACTGGTTTCAATAATCCTCCTATTCAATTTTTAACCTATCGCAAAAAAATACATACATAATTCTGCAGGACCATGAAAATGTACATCTAACATTTTGTAAAACTCAAGATTCCATGCGTTACGATACTAAGAAGATATTAAAAAAAACTGCAATTTATGATCAAAATGTAATGGATCTTGATTTTTGTAAAAATGAGAGTTGTGCACATTTTCGTTAGTTGGCTAGAGATGGGTTGGATATGGAGCCAAATCTATATACCTACCAAATTATACCTTTTTGTCTCGAAATAACGCGAGCGAAGTAGCAGGGAACAGCTAGTTTGTTTTGAAAATTTTCACTTTCGCGGATAGTGTGTAGTTCTAAAAAGGGTAGGAATTTGAAGTATTTCAGAAAAAAGATTCAAAATTTTTATTAGCTTTCATAGCGTCATAGATATTTTTTTCTGTATGAAGCACCAATTAAAAGATTAGCGAAAAACTAATCTTAAAAGTGGGAACTTTAACCCCCTTCCCCCCACTCTGGCGCCCCCCCTTAGAGGGACTTTGAGTATGTCTCTAAGCATCCTGTACCAATTTCTGAAGAAATTGCTTAGGTA